TAAAATGCTACTGAGCTCTGCTGCCCCCGCGAGCCGCTCTCTGAGAGACTGTAAACTTTAGCTGCAGAACTTGCTAACTAGCACGTTATTAGGAAAGGCGATTTGCAAAATTCATTCAAAAAAACACTTGTACTCACTTCTTCTGGAGGTGAAGTTGGATCACGAATGACTCGCGCGAACATAGATGCATTTAGGTAAAGTTACATCAGGGGGTGCATTCCCTTCAAAAACAAAGCTAATCCTCTGCATCTTCAGCGGCTCAGATGTCGGGAGTAAATGACGACTGCTATGTTCATTATTACATCCAACAACAAAACACCTCAATCTCTTAGGAGTCATTCTTGTCTACACCTGCACTGGCATAGAAACAATGGAGGACTGATGACAGCTCACTCAGGGCGGAGCTAAGGTAAAACGCTAGTGTCAATCAACAATCGTGGGAGGGGCCTGGGTCAGTGTGACATCACACAGGCCAAGAATCTGAGAACGGCTTGATTTGAGAAAGTGGTCATGATTTATCGATATTAAAAAAATAAATAAATAAATAAAACACTGGGTGGATTTTTATCATTATAGGGGTGGTTGTGTACACACACTGCCAACACACATTTCAGTTCAAACAACATGTAAAAGTGAATTTTGCATCCGATGACGATTTAAGAGCCGGGGGGTGAAAACTTCTTGAATTTGAAGATCAGGGTAAATTTAACTTATTTTGTTTTCTGGGAAACCTGTAAGTATTTTCTGTGGCTTCTGAAGGGCAGTACTAAATGAAAAAAGCATGATATTTAGGCAAAATAAGAAAAATTTACACATCTGCATTCTGTTCAAAAGTTTTCACCCCCCGGCTCTTAAAGGGGTCATATGATGCGATTTCAATTTTTCCTTTCTCTTTGGAGTGTCACAAGCTCTTGGTGCATAAAGAAGATCTGTAAAGTTGCAAAGACTAAAGTCTCAAATCCAAAGAGATATTCTTTATAAAAGTTAAGAGTCAGCCACACCTACCTAAAACGGCTCGTTCTAACACGCCCCCACATGGCTACGTCCCGATGTGGGAAGATTTACATAATGCCGCCCAAATGTTCACGCAAAGAAAGAAGGCGTAACTTTGATTCTCGCTGTAGTATTGTTGTTGCTGCAGCCATGTCCTGAAGACGCTGTGTGCTTCGTTGTGAAAGTGAAACTACTTTGTTTGGTCTTCCAAAAGAG